GACTGCTTACTGTTTCAGGGAGGAGGGAAGGGAAGGAGGGAGGGATAGAATTTGGAACTCAAAACTTTAAAAAAAAAAAAGCCCAAGCAGGTCACTGGCTGGACCTGAGAATAAAGTCCTACTCCCAGGAACTCCCCAGAACGAATCTAGCCCTCAAGTAGGGCTAACTAGATAAGGCTAATTAGTAGTCCCTACTTTCTGCAAGGAAAAACATCAGAGCTCAAATAGTTGTAGTCTTTACAGCTAAAACTAAGTGACTGGTCCAGACCTAGAAGTGAAGAATGATGGTTTTGTTACTTCTAGTGGATATTCATTGAGCAGCTGCTGGAGAGTGCGCATTCTTCCCCATGCAGCAGTAGACTCAAGTGAGAAATGTGCTTAAGAGAAATGGGGAATTGGGTGCCATGGCAATCCTACAAAGACTTCTCAGAATTAGTTCTGAGAGTTGCTGGGCCTTTTTTTTTTAGTCACACTCCAATATAAGTAATAAAGTTTTTATAAGAAGGGATCACTAAGTAAAAGGGGGAAGAAAACTCCCAGATTAACAAAGAATTGTAAGGGACCTTAGAGATCCTTTAATCCAATTCCCTTATTTTGCAGACAAGGAAACTGAGGCCCAGGGAAGCAATGTGCTTTGCTTAGGGTCCCATGGCTAGTTAAGAATGCCCATCCGAGGTATGCAAAAGTTTAAGAGTGAGAGAGAAAGCCATTCTGTTTGGCTGGAACACATGTGTGTGTGAAGGAATCAGGGTAAGATAAGGTTGGTTTCCTAATCAGTCCAACTCCTTCTCTCCTTCCATCCTTCCTTCTTTGTATCTAAATTTTCATACATTTATGTATAGATATGTGGCACACATACACTTATGTACAGATATGTGTGTGTGTGTGTGTGTATATATATATATATATATACATACACACACACACACACACACACATATTTGAGTTGTAAGTAGATATCCATACCACTTGAGAAAAATACTTGGAAGCTTAAAGACAGTTTGAGCTGAAATTAAATAATTTACAACAAAGTTAATTTGAAACACAATGAAATACCACAATCCATTTGTGTCTATCTAAAAGCTAGGCATTTGAGGCATTGCCTTGGGGAAAGGACAGTCCTAAAAGCAGGTGGTAGGGTAGTTTTCCAATGGTGGATTATTATAAAGCTGGGGGCCTCGCATAGGCAACACTGAATTCTGAAAGAGGGAAATAACTCAGAAAAGCACCCGACCAAATTTGTCTGGCTTCCCTACTCTCCTGAAAGGCCAAGAAAGCTTTGGTTTTATTCTTGTGAGGCCATCTCTCCCCATCTCTATCTCATATGCTTTTTTAAGAAGGTGGGCCAGCTGTAAATCATCTAGCTTCCTGGAAGCAACTTGGGAAAGAGGGTCCCCCTGTATTAAAAGCACTGACCTGTGTATGTCCTTGTGTGTTCCACTGGAACATTGTTCTTTGAGATGAGAGAATTAGGTTTGGAAGTGGAGTTAATAATGACCCTCTCTGGAATTTGCAGGGTTAAGGAATGAATCCACATTAGGTCACTGGGCCCTCAAGGAATTGAAATGGCGGGTTATAGGATAACCTTTCTTTAGAGAGCACTATAACCTAGGTTGTTTTGTCTTAGAAGCTGTGGAACCGCCCAGGGACCCTGGCAGGGAGTGCATTGACCAGCCAGAGCTCGCCAATTGTGACTTGATCCTGCAAGCCCAGCTTTGTGGCAATGAATACTACTCCAGCTTCTGTTGTGCCAGCTGTTCCCGCTACCAGCCCCATGCCCGTCCTGTCTGGCAACAGGGATGAAAGCTGTCTCCTGCCCTCACTCCCAAACACTGTGGCTGGGGAGAAGGAAGACATGCCAACCAGAGTGGGGTGGGCAGAAGGTAAACACAACTGTCCGCTCTATAGCAGACTGTCCTTTCTAAAAACCCATCCGTTGTAAAGCTACTGTAGCATCAGCAGCTGGGATAAGCTCCTGCCCTAATCACCTGTGCTTTCTTTGTTTGCTCTTCAGACACAATCATGTCATTTTGTAATGAGATTGCTTAGATGAAAATGGAAGCCTGCTATTTCCCACAGCAAGCTCTAGGGGACAGGACTACTACATGGTATTTTGATTATTTTTTTGGAAGAAAGTTTCTGCTGCTCTCAATGACCTACATTACTAATGCTGGCTGAGTTAACACACATCTTGTATAAGGATCAATAACTCTGCTGCATCTGAACCATAGCTAGCTTGGGCCTAACCTTTCTTTGAGGCCACGTCTGACACTGATCTGAGCTTTTTCCACAGCCCTAATGCTCTGCAGCCTAGATGGCTTCCGATATCATACAAACTCATCTTAAAGCCTTCTCTGAAGAGATAGGGTTTGAATCTGTTTCTCCCCTTTGGAACATGGACCTTGTAGCCTTGATCATGAGGGGGGATTCATTCTGCATCTGCCTTTCCTGCTGACGGTCATCTCACACAGATCCAGGTTAAACTGCTCCAATAAACCCAAAGCTGTCCCATACCCTAAGGATGCAAAGAAGACCAGAACCAAATAAAGCAGGAATCTCCAAAGTAACTGTGTTCGAAACACTGAACCACAAAATTAACAGAGCACCAGGCGTTAACAGAAGGCTGAGCACAGCTGCCTCGACTATGTGGCTAACTCCCATGTAGGATTGGCAGAACACCTGGAATCTTGTCTCCAAATGGAAACACAAGCCCTGGATGTGGTGTGGCTTTGAAAAAGATGGCTCTCATCTGGGACAGCATCTTCCTCCGTTACCATAGCTGGGCACTGGTTAGAAATGGAACCAACTGCATCATGGGTGACTATTTCTCAGTCTACCTTCCTTCCTTTTGTCATTCCAGGGAGAACACAGTCTGTGGGGAAGATTTTCTTACTTTGATAATATTAACTGTTAGGAACTGTATTATCACGATTTCTTTTTACTTGTCACAGATTCTACAGATACTGGAAAATAAAGTCCATTTTCTTACACTTATGTGGTTGTCTATTAGACCAAAACTAGCAATACAGAATAAGGAAAGTTAACTATGTTCTTTAAGTCTCTACTGCCACTGAAATTACAGACTGAGCATCTGCCCTGGGCAGGACAAGTGATAAGGTTAAGTTCTGACTTTCCCAGATCTATACCAAATTTCTTAGTTATTTCAACAAATAACTAACTCCTGTACTCAGGCCCCACATGGGGACAACAGTGATTATAAACTCTAACCAGGGATCACCAGGAGCAGAGTTAACAAGCAGCTATGGTCCTGTCTCTATTTATGTGTGAAAGAGTTTTAACTTCTGAATGAAAGTCTCATTGAGAAATCTAGGACCAGCCTACGTTTACCAGGTTATGAATCAAAACAAGTGCTGGATATATGAACTCTAAATGGTACCCAGTAAAAAAAGATTTTCTGCCCACAGCAACATGAGGGTTTATGGGCTGTTAAGGCCCAGGACATAATTAGCTAGAAAAGAAAATAGAATATGAATGAACAGATGTTGCTAGAGAAGAAATGGGGAAAGAACAGTCCCACTGGCAACAGCTTCTTTCCACCAACATTTATTTTTGTTAAATCAGATTATAAATTGTCATCAGTACAAATATATATATATATATATATATATATATATGTATGTATATTATATATATATATAACTTACATTTGATTGTAAGGCCAACGTTTAAAAGTAAAATTAAATGAGATGGGATTTCGTGTTGTTACCAGAGGTCCAACAGGTATAGCTGGCAATGGGCTTTTCATTAATCAAAACAGATGAGGGAAAACCAAACAAAAAAACCATGAAAAGCTGAAGGAAGCAGGGTCTCCCCCCTCCCCAAACCTTCACCAAAGCTGAAGAAGAAAAACAACAACTGAGACTGAGGTCGCAGGCCCCCCTAGTAAAACACGGCCCTAGGTACTCCCTTGCAAAGATGATTCTGCAACTGTCACAGGAGTGTTTCAAAAGCAGGAAAAGGATCAACACAAGGAAAGAGCATCAATACATAAAAGAAAATACAGACTACATTTGTGTTATCTATGTGTACATGTGTATACATACATGTGTATATATAGACATGTGTGTGTACGTATTTATATATAATTTAGATCCAATAGAATTTTGTAGTAGTTTGAAAGCCAGGACAATACTGCTCTTTCATTGTCTTTATTTAATACTACCATCTAGGAGCTTTATTGGTCATGACTCATGATTGTTGTTGCAATGTGCTACTTACAATGTATGCTACAGAACAAGTTAGGAATCCCCTTTGTTACACCCTCTAACTTCCCTTCTCTGGTTACTTTTGATAGGAATCAAGGATAAATCAATCTTATGTACAATTTCTTACAGCTAACCTTCTTTTCCCTTTGGCAAGATTACTTACAACTCTTATGACTTTTTAATATTGAACTATTTAAAATATTCTAAATGCATAAAAATAAAAATTTTGGCTTTTTTTGTAATATATTTATATATATATATTTATATAATATTCATTGTTACTTAAGGTGGAAGCTCACCCTTCCCCCCCAAAAAGACAGCTTTGCTGGGCTAGGGATGCTTCCTCCCCCTACGCCTCAATGCTGGCAGGCAGCCCATCGGCCTGCTGCTCCTCCTGTCCTCAGGCTGAGAGGAGGTTACTTTCCTTTGCCCATGAGGTGGTCAAATAGGGGGCAGGCAGATGCGCTGAAAAATAAAGGGAGATTTCATTTACTTTCCATCACATTCTCCACCCTGCAAATGGGCTCCTGGTACAGCTTTCTGCTCCTTCTCTTCAGCTACTCTGTTTCTCCAGGATAGGTGGGATGTAGAGGAAGAGAGGCAGGGGAGGGGCGCATTCCCATGACTCCTTTACTCTAACTGCAGGGCAAGTCATCTGAAGGGATTTTTAAAAGCAATTTTCTTAAAAATCATTCCTTCCCGCACTGTGTGCCCAGACTTGTTCCACAGGGCCTTTGGGATTACCAAAAAGTGTGCTGATCAGAAAAAGAAAGTCCCCTTTGCTCCTTTAACCCACTTCCCTCACCCAAAAGACAGACCAGATGCATGAGCCACAAGGACTGCTTAAAGTTCAATCTCAAATGTCTTCTGTAAGTCACTGGAGAAAGGATTAGTCGGTGAGGGGTTAGTGCGTTGTTTGGACTTGCCTTCTAACGCAGCCCACTGAGCTTCAAAAGGATCCACTGGGTCAGTAGTAGCAGAGGTCTCCAACTGCCTGTCCCCTGAGGCCATCTTGCTATTGTCTACCCCATTGAAAGCAGCAGAACCGTTGAGGTGCTGGGCAGAGGGCTTAAAGAAAGGGCTGGTGATAGTACTGCTCATTTCATACTGAGGGAATGTCTGCTGTTTGACCAAACTGGGGGATTGATGGGGGTGATTTGCCTGGGGATGGCCTGCAGTGCCAAACACATTGGCTACCATTTGTGAGGGGGTGATGCCAACCACAGGCACATTTGAGGATGGATAGGGCATCCCATTGGCTATAGGGTAGGGTTGGGTAGGGACAAATGCTGGTTGCATTGGTGGAACCACACCCACTGGCACAGGCGGAGAGGTGGTGAATGCATTTCCTTGGAAAGATGGTGCTGGCTGGGAGAGAGCTGGAGGTGGAGGTGGCTGGAGAATTGGCTGCAGGGGGGCAGCAGGAGCCTGGGGCTGCTGGGCCCGCACTGTTTTGGAAACCTCTTCCAACCATCGGTCAGCTTCAGAAGGCGTGCGCCGATGACCAGCATGAAAGATCCCCGGTGAGGCTGCTCCAGATGAGGGACCCCACTCTGTGCCTGTAACAAAACAAATGATGAGGAATGTTATTTGGTTATATTTATTTTCCCTTTCTTATGAAAACCATGGTTATTTTATTGGTTAATACTGCAGAACAAATCCTCTTAGCTGGACATTTTGTGTCACTGGATGTGAAGATTTTATGGAGGGATGAAAGACAACACATCAAAATGTGTTGATGGCTCAGGGGCTGCTGGAACTGCTTTGAAAAGTCTCAAAGGACCAAATCAGCTGTTCAGAGCCTGACAAAAGTCCCCAGTGACCACAGCTCATCCTCAGTAGAAAAATAAGTTTGAAAATAATCTAAAGAACCAAGGTAGCTTCTTTAAGATTGATATAATCCGCTCTAGATTTCTCAATGAATAAAAGAAAAATGGTTCACTGTCCTGATGCCTGTGAACACGTTTCCACAAGTTACTATGGGTTTTTTGGGTGGTCTTATCCTGGTGATAAATTTTCTTTCAGCCTCCTAGGTCAGGAGCTGTGGCCCATCAGACCAAGGCTCCCACAAAAAAGTCAAATCTCTTGCTTTCTTCTTTCGTATGATATCATCTTCAGAACCGATTATTTCCGAGAAGACAAACTGCCTTGTTTTTGGGTTTTTGTTTTTAAGGATCCTTTCCCCTTTCCCATCGAGGTGCATGGCTGGGTCTTGGTCCAGGATCACACGACTGATCCCAGGATCCTCACCAACATCTGTGTCTACCTTACCCGAATGTGTAGCTGCAACTTCCTTGTTAGCAGCAGGAGGGGCATGGGCCCAAGGGTTGGTTTCACGAACAGGCAATGCTGTGGGTGCTAGAGCAGTTTGGGCTGGCTTAGCAGCAAACACATGGAAGGCAGGGTCAGTGCCATTAGCTAAAATGGGAGCAGACAACATCAATGGAGTTAATTCATGCAAAATGTGCAGATGACTGAGGGCTGGTTCAATTAGGCCAACATGCGGTATTTGCATAAAAATGTACACAGAGTGAAAAGATTATTTTTGTTAGTAATTTTGGCAAAGGCTGCACTAATAGATAATCAGATGAAATACAGTTACTCCTCTATCAAGCTTAGCAAAATCTGTCTTAGGACCATCAAAATGGTCCTGTTCTAATTATAGTTTTTTGGAAAAGAGCAGATTAGAGAAATCATTTCTCTCTGGTACCACTTTCCAGAAAGACAAAGTAGTTCCTATTTTTCTTTCTGTTCAGGTTCTATATCATGTAATCTGTGTGTGTGTGTGTGTGTGTGTGTGTGTGTGTCTGTGTGTGTAAATATATAAAAACATATATATAAATAAAAACTTAGTAGGTCCTTTCATTTACTCATGAGCTATCATTTTCTGTGGGATTAAGTCCATTCTAATTTAATACTCTATGACTGTTTCCTTCTAGTAATGATCAAGGCTCTTTCTTTTCCTTTGGAAGTTTTCATATATACAACTTCTTACCCCTTGTCTACTTTAGTAAAACAAAACAAAACAAAACAAAACAAAACAAAACACCTCTCCCAACCTTCACTCATTTCCTTTCAGGCAATGATTCCAGCATTCTCTACTCTTAAGCTCCCATATATCTTCTAGTAAGGGTAAAAAAATTGGGGAGCCATCATATTTGGCCTTCTCCATGTGCACCACATGATTATAACCAAAGCCTCATTCGTTCAATTAAAGCAAATACATCTTTAAAGGGAACTTGTCTGTATTTTAAATGACATTACCTAGACATTACCTAGGTAACCGCTATATTGTGAACTGTTTCAACAGGTGTGGGCTATGGTCTAATGCACAAGTTAGATTTCTTAGTTAATTCTTTCCAGACTGTTTCTCAAAGGACACAGAGAGGCAATAATGACAAAAGCTAAAGTTCTACTGCCAGTTTTTAAAAGTTTATAATATAAGCCATAAAGGCTCATTTCTTTGCTCTGTCCAGTGACTCAAAACCAAGTGTTAATTTGGTATCCCTAGGAACCACAGTTAAACTTTAAGTTAGTGTACTTTTTTTTTTTTTTTTTTTGCTAATGTAGACTGCAGCTCACTGGTCACAAAAGACAAAATAAATCAAAGTCGAAAATTAGAGGCATCTTTCCAATGCCTTTTTCTCAAAACAGGCAGACAGTGTGTTTAAATGTTTCTCCCAGTGGGTTAGTGTCCAAGTTAGTACCCACTCAGAGAAGGTATATAATCAGACATAATCCTGACTTTTTGACTTATTAGAAATCCACTGGATATAAATGAGATATAAAGCCACTGTGCACTCTAAGTCTCAATGAGGCAGATGAAGCTTTAGGCAGGGAATATGTGGGTCATTGAGGGTATGTGATGACAGACAGAGGGCATACATGCAATCCTAAGACTGCAGAAGGGGAATGAGGCAAGCCATAAAGCACAAGGCGAAGTTAGAAAGAAGAGTGAAAGACGACCACATTTCGATTGCTCAGCAAACTAAGAGAACACCGACCTTGAAAGGCGGGGGACTGTGGAGCCACCACCGTCACCGGTTTGGTCATCGGGGCAGATGAGAAAGGGTCCTCGGGTGTGCTGAAGGCGTTAGTGATCTGGGAGCACAAGGAGCTGATGCTCTCTGCTTCCCCTTCCACCTCCGGCACTGGAAATCAAAGAATTACTCCAGACTGGAAAGGTGAGTAACACTGAAATACTCCCTCATCAACACAAAGGTAACTCCACTTGAGGAAGAAAGTTGTATCGATCATCCTCAAAAGATAGTATTAACAGTGTGCTCAAGAAGCGTAATTTCACAAATACCTTGAACCACATCTATCCTGACTTCAGGAAAGGGTAAAACTCCAGGGATGTGCCTCAGCTCAACATTTCACCTGGTCCTAATAAACTCCCCAAATGCTATGCCTCTCTTCTCTCGTTTTCCATATCAGATGTGTTTTGGTTTTTTTTTTCCTTGGGTCAATGACAATCTGGAGAGATAAATCTAGAAGTTACTTATATCTTGATAGGTCTTCCCAACTAAACAACAGTCTGTGATCTGAGCTCGGTTCAGAAGCAATTTAATAAGGTTACCATAGGTGCATATTGTCAGGGCTATCTGGGCTCACAGACAGCAAGGTTTAGTAAACTGAGCATGACAGCAGGAGCCCAGGGACTTCCTTAATCTGAGACCTATAATCCACCCTTGTGATTTTGTAAAAATCAATGAACTACTCTGAACTCCAGTCTCCTTATCTGTGAGGTGATGCTAACCACCTCTACCCCTTCTCTCACCACGAGATATCATAAGTGAGACATATTGAATATCTAGCAGCTCCCAAGAGATGGGCTGGTTTCACTAGAGAACAGTAGCAATATGGTTTCATGGTGCATTCCATAAGAGGACTATCTTGAACAAGAAAGTTTCCCTACATCAGAATGGAATAAAAGCTCAACAGTAACTGAGAGAGAAGGGAGTCACTCAGGTTCCTGAAGGATACCTATTAAAGACTAACTAGATCTTAAAATTCAAGACCCAGTGAAGTTCCTACAACTACAGGAACTGGGCAAAAGACTTAGTCAAGAGACAGAAACACATGGACAGATGCTCAGGTACGTAAGCAGTATATGTGAGCATATACCCTTATGGCTGATAAGCACTTTTTAGATCGAAACCTTAGTCCTTCCTTCATCTCTTTGGGTAAATATTAAAAGGACAAAAAAAAAAAGTTTAACTGTTCTTTTGAGTCCATCTGACTTTCTATGTCTCTTTAATTGCTCTTATATCCAAAGTCTTTTTAATCTACCCTTGTTGACTGCCAAACAGGAACATAAAAAAGGAAACTAGAGATTCTTTTTCTTTAGCAGGAGGCTGACACACTCTTCCTGGACCCCCTATAGGAAGCGAAATAGAATGATCAAAACAATCCCCTTCTCTGGCCTCAGTTTCTTTCATCCATTTCATTCCTACCATGGAGAACACCAGCAACTTATGTGACAGGGCTGGCAGGGGCCCCCTCAATGCAGAGAATCAGAAAACATTTGGCAAGCCAAAGGAGTGACTAGTAGTGGTGCTTCTAAGGCGGGTGGATTCTAACCTTACCTGCATTTTTGATGGGGAAGTCAGTCTTCCGTTGCATAGTGGAAGGCAACTCATTGATGCGCAGGGACAGCTGGCGTTTAAAAGGTGACATCTTCTGACTAAGGGCAGGAAAGCCTCGGAACGAACCTTGCCTGGCAAGCTGCTCAATCGGTGCATGACGTCGAGGGATGGCATGGGGATTGTTCATCTCAAGAGAGGCAGTGGTGTCAGCAGTTGGGGAGGTAGGAGAAGAGGGGGATGGGGCAGTGTTACTGGGCGTTGCCGATGAAGCCACTGTAGTCTTCACATCTGTTTCAGCTTGGGAAAGCAAAAGGGAAATTGTGCCTTCTTCAAAATAATCAGAGCCCACATAACTAAGAAATTAAAAATCTTTCAAAGGTAGCTTCATCCTTTAAATGTTATTGAAGTGTAGGAAAGGTGTGGCTTATTTTTATTACTCACAAAAAAGAAATCTTACCCTCATGTCACAAAGCTAAAAATAGATTTCAAGAAAATAGGATTTTAAAGTTGGAAGGGACCTTAGATCTCGTGGTCCCATCTTTATGATTTATAAACACCTATAACTTGCCAGTGAGCCAGGCAAGAAGAAAAGCAGTTACACATGGGTTCCCATCATATAGGTTTCCAAAAAGGACTCCGCTCTGGCAATGAAAGTATTTTAAAGCCACTGGGGTAAGAGTCAGAAAGTTCCAAGTGAGTTCAGTTTCAATTAGATTTCACTGATTCTAGCACCCCTGCATCTGTGAAGCTGAGATGGCCAGCTGCAGCCTTACCTCTGATAAGGATCTGCACCTAAAATGAAGACTCAAATGGAATATTAAACCTAAATGTCAAGTTGTTCTGCCATGAACAGCCATCATATTCATCACGAGAAGAGTTTCTGTTCCAACGTGTGTAACTAACAGACGTTATTCTACGTTTGACATACAAATGATTAAACCACACTTTTTGATTCCACAGTAAAGGGGCTGCTCGGTCTGTGCTGCTTTATCATTCAGCTTCCTGAATTAAAGCACTCTACAAAGATTTCTGCGATTTCTCTGGGCCAGAGAGCTCTCAGGATAGAAATTCCCTCTACTGCTCAGGATCAGTGGCTCACAGACCTGGAGCTCTGACAGACTGCAGAGTACTCTCAGGTACTCCAGGCCCCTTGCTTTAAACAAGAGGAGATGGAGCCCAGATAGACTTGTCTAAGGTCACACAGTAAGCGGCAGGGCTGGGACCTGAACTTGGCCCCAAGACTCCAGGCTCAGGGACAAAGCTGAACCAGGATAACTTGGCACGTTCCTTAAACATGAGTTTTAAAGAGATGCCTGGAGCACTTGCCAGCAATCACTCAAGACGGTCTGTGTCAGAACAGGACTTGAAGCCCTATCGCCCTAAGTCGATCTGCCGGGATACTACATTGCCTCTTCCAGCCAGAGCTAACAATCAGTGTCATCCTAAGTGTCGTCTTCAAATACAGGAGATGACGACTGTGTCTTTTCTTGCTGACGCCATTACTAACTGAGGTGACAAATTAAAATGGCTGGTTAAGAAGCCAAAGGACATGGAGAAAAGATCTTCTCTAAATGGACGTACTGACACCTGTCTGTCAAACACAGAGCCACCGACTTCTCTTCAACACCTTGTCTAGGATTGCTCTGAGTTCACGTGCTCGTGAGTAATGCAGTGACTCCCGCTCCCTCAGCCCGGCTGCCAAACAATGGCACTGTACCTTTCTTTGTGTCCTGCATCTGCCTCATGACCTCTTCTCTTTCCGCTTGCTCAAGGGCTGTGGTGACTCGGAAGGAGCCTTCTCTGGTAAACGTGGTCCGGCTGGCATCAAAAGTGGCTGTCACACCACACTCCTTCTCCCGTTTCTGTTTCCGTTCCAGGCAGGCTGCAAAAGCACAACCCACTGCATGGCTCAATCTTTCTCCCTGTAAAAAGGGAAGAGTGCAGTGACATTTTATTTTTGTAGCAGAGTTAAAAAGCGAGTCAAAACTTCCTAAAAGGTAGTAAGGGAGTGGCTTGGAGGCTCCAAATGACCTTTATAAAAAGAGCCACAAATAAACTTCTTTATATGAGGGAGTCTATCCTTAGGTGTCCCATCATTTCTGAAGACTTCAGATCTAGCCTAAAAGGATCTTTTTTTTTTTTGGTAAAAATTTAGTTCACAGGGGGAGCTAGGTGGTACAGGTGATAGAA